AATGTTAACATCTGCTTCTTTTCTGTTTGAATATGCTGTTATGGATTGAATTGTGTCCCCCAAAAATATGTGCTGTAAATCCTAACCTCTGCCTGTGGTTAATCAGGAAGGATTAGATTATGTTAATGAAGATAAGGTCATATTTGTTATGTTAATGAGGCAGAGTTAGTGTGTACTTGCGTCAATCTCTTTTGAGATATAAGAGATTAAACAAGCAAGTTAAGCAGCAGAGATAGGGGAAATGAGATACCAAGACACATGAAGCAGAAGCTAGAAGACACAAGGACCTTCTTCTAGAGCCGAGAGAGAGAGAAAGCCTTCCTCTAGAGCCGGCATCCTGAATTTGAACTTCTAGCCTCCTAAAATGTGAGAGAATAAATTTCTGCTTGTTAAAGCCACTTCCTTGTGGTGTTTCTGTTATAGAAGCACTAGATAACTAATACAGAATTTGGTACTGAGAGTGCGGTGCTGCTCTAACAGATACCTAAAATGTGGAAGTGGTTTTGGAATTGGGTAATGGGTGGAGGATGGAAGAGTTTTAAAGTGCCTAATAGTAAAAGCCTAGATTGCCTTGAAGAGACTGTTGGTAGAACTATGGACGTCAAAGGTGATTCTGATGAGGGCTCAGAAGGAAGTGAGGAGAGCTACAGAGAAAGTCTCTATCATCTTAGAGAACACATACGGTGTCAGCAACAGAATGTTGCTAGGAATGTGGACTTTAAATGTGCTTCTGGTGAGATTTAAAAGAAAATGATGAATATGTGATTGGACAATGGAAGAGGGGCAATGCTTTTTATGCAGTGATAAAGAACTAGTCTGAATTATGTTCAAATGTTTGGTGGAAGGTAGAACTTGTAAGTGATGAACTTGAGTATCTTGCTGAGGAGATTTCTAAGCAAGATCTTGAAGGGGCCACATGGTTTCTCCTTCTTGCTTATAGTAAAACGCGAGAGGAAACAGATGGACTTAAAAATAAACTGTGCAAAATGAAAACATAACTTAAGGATTTGGAAAATTCTGTTGTACAAACTAAGGACATGTGTTCTAGAACTTCCACCAAGGATGTGGCTACATAATCTTTTGTTAAAGAGATTAAACTTGTGACTAATGGATCTAAGCTACTACTACAGCAGAAAACCAATCCGCTTAGACTGAAGGGGACAGAGAAAGAATGAAAGGAAAGAACATTGTCTGCCTCTTTGAATTCTATAGGCAGGGAACGGGCCAAAGGAGCTACATCTATTGTCCTCTGAGAAAGAAAAGGACCATCCCTGGAGTAGTTTGGAGATTCAGCAGAACTGTTAGAAGGAACACGGGAAGCAGAGCTGCCGCGATCTCAAAGGGTGGGGCCGTTGACTCTTGGATCTCAAAGGGTAGGGACACAGCTGCCTAGGTTTCAAAGGGTCGGATCTCCACCAACTCGGTTCCAGAGTGTGGGGCTGCTGTTAAGGTATGCTGGGGGATGGGGCTGCCACCCAAAGCTAAGGGCATGGGGCTGCCATGCCCAAGGGGCTGAAGAATGGGGCCTGCCAGGGCCAAGAGGGTGGGGTCACCACTCAGACTAGAATGGGGTGGCCCAAAGCTGAGGGTGCAGACTTGCTATTCCAGTGGTTCTGGAAGGCAGAGCTGAAGCCCAGAGCCGAGGGGCCTCCACCCAGAACCCACAGAGAATGGCCAACACCCAGAGCCTAGAGGGCAGGGCCACTGCCTAGATGGTCTCAGAGAAGACAGGATTATTTTCAGGCCTTGATAGCTAATGTAAATTGTTCTGCAGGGTTTTAGATTTGCTTGGTGCCTGTTATCTCTTCTTTCCCTCAAATTTCTCCCATTTGTTATGGAAATGTATACTTTGTGCCTGTTCCATTGTACTTTGGAAACAGATAACTTGTCATCTTGATTTCACAGGTTCACAGATGAAGAGGAATTTTGCCCCAGGAAGGAATATGCCTAAAGTCTCACATATTTGATTTAGATGATTCCGAAGATGAGATTTTGGACTCAGAGTTGATTTAAGACTTTTGGGATGATGTGATGGGGTGAATGTGTTTTACGTGTGGCATGGACATGAATTTTTAGGGGTCAAAAGGTGGAATGTTATGGACTGAATTGTGTCCCCCTAAAAAAAGTGCTGAAAATCCTAACCTCTGTCTGTGGTTATAATCCCATTTGTGAATGGGTTATGTTTGTTATATTAATGAGGCAGGATTAGGGTGTATCTTGAGTCAATCTCTTTTGAGATATAAAAGCATTAAACAAGCAAGCTATGTAGTAGAGATGAGGGAAGAGAGATGCCAAGCCATATGAAGACTGTCCAGGAGTAGAAGCTCAGAAGAGGCAAGCATCTTCCTCCAGAGCCGACAGAGAAAGGCTTTCACTAGAGCCGGCACCCTGAACGTGGACTTTTATCCTTTTAAAATCTAAGAAAATAAATTTCTGCTTGTTAAAGCCACTTACTTGTGGTATTTCTGTTATAGCAGCACTAGATAACTAAAACATATGTGCTACTTTTCTTATTGACTTACAAGAATATTACTGTTTTTGTTTTCCACATTTGTTGCTAATGTTTCTTTCTAGTTTGCCTTCTAGATTTACTCTTAGTAGTTTTTGGAACAGACATTTTAAACTTTTATGTGTAAAAAGTATATTTATGTATAAACATACATAAAAGCACTGTCAGCATATTGGTTCTTTTTCTTGACCCCCACTATCATGGATTGAATTTTGCCCCCCAAAAATACGTGTCAACTTGGTTAGGCCATGATTCCCAGTATTTTGTGGTTGTCCTCCATTTTGTGATTGATAACATTTTCCTATGTGTTGTAAATCCTAATCTCTGCCCATGGTTAATGAGGCAAGATTCAATTATGTTAAAGAGAATTAGGGTGGGAAGTAACACCCTTGCTCAGGTCACATCCCTGAAACAATGTAAGGGGAGTTTCCCTGGGGTGTGACCTGCACCACATTTTATCTTACAAGAGATAAAAGGAAAAGGAAGAGAGGGGAGACCTCATACCACCAAGAAAGCAGTGCCAGCAGCAGAGCGTGTCCTTTGGAGCAGGGTCCCTGTACAAGAAGCTCCCAGTCCAGGGAAAGATTGATGAGAAGGACCCTCCTCCAGAGCCGACAGAGAAAGCCTTCCCTTGGTGCTGACGCCCTGAATTTGGACTTCTAGCCTACTAGACTGTGAGAGAATAAAATTCTGTTGTTAAAGTCACCCACTTGGGGTATTTCTGTTACAGAAGCACTAGACGACTAAGACACCCACCCCCTTTTAGACTTAAAAATGTCCTTTTCTAGCTTGTGAATATACTTTTATGATTTCTTCTGACTTCTAAAAAGTATTTCATCTTATACATTTAACTCTTTAATTCATCTGCAATTTATTTTGTGTGAGATAAGAAATCAACTTTTATTTTTCTCCAAATAGCTAGTTCCATAATCTTGATACAATGAAACATAAAAATTTCATATCATATTTGTAGAACAACTCCAAAGTTACCTGTAAAAAGATGAAACTTATTTTGATAATCTATGTACTCTTATCCCTGAAAAGTACTTTAGAGATTATGCAGGCAATCCTTCTCACTTTGTAGATGAGAAAACTGAGGTCTGAAGAGACTGAGGGGTCTAGGCCAAGGTTTCAAATACTGGAATGAATAATGGAGAGAATCCAGGTCTCCTCTGTCTTCCCCAGAACAGAGTCCTTTGCATTCTACTTAGGCAGCATTCTTCAATTATATATCAAAATCTATTCTCTCATTAAGTACTTAAAATGTCAACAAATAGGCACTGATTAGGCCAATCGTATCCTGAAATCCCCTTAAACGCTTTTCAAATTTTGATTTGCACTAAGCCTATGGAAGTATTAATGGATCATTTAACAATATTCAACTCTTCAGTTATTTCTAAGATAATGGCACATGATTTTCAGCAACACATTTGCCAACAATGTATAAGCATATGTGGCATATACAATGACTAAATGCATGGCAATGTCCAAAACTGTCAACTTTAAGATACAATCACACTGCAAAACTTTCTCAAAATCCAGAAAAGTTTAAAGAAGAAAACAAAGACCACCCATAATCCTATTATCCAGAAAATACCACTATTTCAACACTGGTATATATCCCTCTAGACACTTTCTAGGTGTACACATGCACACACATGCACACATACCCAATGTGCGTTAATTTTTTTGCAAAAGTGGGACTATACTACACAAATTTCTTTGTAACCTTTCTTTTCACTTAACATCATACTGCAGAGATCCTACGAGTCAGCAAGTATAGTTCTACATCATCATTTTTAATGGCTGTATAATAATGTTCGATTGTTGAACATAACTTAATTCTATTGACAGATTAATTTAGAGTCCTGTGATAAACATTCATATAAACATTTCTAATGAGGGTATCTTTCATCTTTTAAACAGCAAACTTCAACTTATACTTCTCTATCAACTTTAAGAATGAAATAATACCAATGAACTCCCTTCTTCCTAAAACACAAAAAGAACTTTAGCAGTATCTAACTACCCTACACTCCCAGTTTCATTAAAATAACCTGGATTTCAGTTCCAAGCTGTTAATTTTCCCCACATTATGCATCAAAATTCCTCTTTTAACACTGGCATTAGGCATCACACTATATTATCAATACTTATAGAAATTTAAGTTCACGCCTTAGTTGTTCATAGCTCTCCACTGCGTCTCCTCTATCCTGTCTTCTTTGTATTGATTCTTATTCTCATTCTCTTTTTGTCTGGGTACTTTCTCAAAAACTCTTCCAAAAGGACGTGTGAATGTCTAACTGTTTGAAATCCTTTCTGCCCTCCTTTTTAGTGAGCTACAGACTTTCAAATCACTTCAAATGTGTGCAGATACAGCCACTAAGTCAACGGATGCTTCATATTTTCTGCTTAATGTTTTTACTAAGTTAAAAATTCCACTGTCCAGTGACCAATGACAGGCTACAGCCCTTTCCAAAACAATACTTACTTCAGCAGTTCCAGGGTTTTGTGATCGAGGGCAAGTCGGGGGTTTCCAGTCAGGTCTAGTTCTTGCAGTTTTGGAGGCAGGTTTTCTGGTAAAGTGACTTCGCTTAGCTCATTACAGCTCAGGTCCACGCACTGAAGGAATAAGTGGACACAAGAAAGAGACGGTCTGAAGAAGTTGTTCAGGCCATTCGAGACTCCCATTCTTTGCAGGAGCAATCAGTTGGACCATTCAACACACTACACTGGCCAAATGTAGAAAAAGAAGTCTGTTTGCAACTCTTCAGGCAATGATTAGACTGGACTATGGGACATAAAATGATACTTGTGAAGAGTGTGCTTCTTAGCTCAAGTAGACACATGAGACTAATGGGCAGCTCCTGTCCAGAGGTGAGATGAGAAGGCAGAGAGGGTCAGGAGCTGGTTGAATGGACATGGGAAATCTGGGATGGAAAGAAAGAGTGTGCTGTCACAGTATAGGGAGAGCAGCTAGGGTCACAAAACAATGTATGTACAAATTTTTGTATGAGAGACTAACTTGAATTGTAAACTTTCACTTACAGCACAATTAAAAAAAAAAGTTTGTTTGCTACTCTGCCATCAATATTAAAACAGATTTTGCCAAATGCAGTAAGAATTTTTACTTTCTTTGAATAACAAAGAAAATTCATGTCTTTTATTCTTCCCATTTTGTCCTTTTAAGTTTATCTCTACATTTAAAAGTAAGCATTGACTGAAAAATCCTAAGGATAGGATTTTTTTCTTATTTCTCACAAAATCTCTGCACCTGTTTTGGCCATGAGAGCTATAGATAAAACATCAAACAAAACAAAAAGCAAGCAAACAAACAACAAAACATGTAAAATGAGGAAAAGGGAGGGAACAAACATTCAAAATTCGAAGATACTTCACAAGAAGCTGAATAAGAAATTGGTAAAAGACAGAATAGCAGATGGGCCTGCCTGCTATATACCAGGCATCTGAGGGAAGGAAATAAAGGGATAAATCAAATATGAATCCTGCCCTCAAGGCACCCAATACCTAGACTATCCAACAGGTCTTACCTATCTGACTTGGAAAATAAACACAAAAAGGGCCATCATACTGATTAGAATAAAGATCATATATTATCTGTAAATGGGAATAATACCTCCTCTTTATGAAAAAATGGTGTAAAGGCTTAATTGAGTGGAAGCCCCAAACTGTGAGGCTACACTTCTGTGAGAAGAGCAGGGAGCCAGGGTGGAGTATGTCACCAGGCACAAGAGAAAATCAGAGTGACTGGCAACTTTTCCAGATAAGAGAGTGGGTAACCCACAATTCGTTAGAATAGGGTGGAAGAGACTCAACAACTATATGGCTTGGATTAGTACACACTTAAAAAAAAAAAAAAAAAAAAGCCTAAAAGAGCCTATTAAAAATCTCAAGATGGTCTGAAAAGGGAAATTGTTTCTAAGAAATTTAGAATCTTAAAAGTGAAAAAAAAATCTTCCTTTTATTTGGAAAAACTCTTAAAGAATTAAAATCTATTATCAACTGGGGAGGGATAAACCCAACAAACAAAACAAATCCATCGCCGTTGAGTCGATTTCAACTCATAGTGACCCTATAGGACAGAGGAGAACTGCCCCATAGGGTTTCCAAGGCTGTAATCTTTACAGAAGCAGACTGCCAGATCTTTCTCCCTTGGAGTGGCTGGTGGGTTTGAACCATCGACTTTTCAGTTAGCAGTTGAGTGCTTAACCACTGTGCCACCAGGACTTCTTAGGGGATGGGTAGGCTGGGTAAAATGAAAAGCTGTATTTTTGAAGAAACATATTCTCAACTCCAAACAGTGAAATGTTTTCACATAAACCATTTCATATCCTTGTTCTCAAACAGTAGCAGTGAGATAAAATTATATTGCCGTTTCAACTACTTTTTGCTATGAGAGCACTATAACCTCACTACAAAAAGTTGGGAGCATCTCTAAAGAGATACCTCTTAATACACATGAGCTCCCAGAGGATCAGTCGTCTGTCTGTAATATGAATAACCCTCTTCCTAAGATGTATGCAATATTTTGTTGAAAAAAGGCATGACTGAAGTTATACTTGTTGAACTATTTTTTTTTTATAACTAGAATTTAAAACACAAAGCAAAACAACTAATCGGGGTTACCTCATAACACCCATTTGGAGAGAATATGCACTCCCAGATTTCTGCTAATCTGTTCCTGGTGGGACAGGGAGCACTGTGGCTTAAATGGGCACTTCCTGGCAGACACTGCTTCTTCCTTCCTCAGCCATCCAGAGCCCCGACCCAGACAGGAAATGACACCAAACTCCCCAACTAAGTTTCCTAAATAATTATGACTTAACCAGATTCCAAGACCATAATGACGATGCTCCTAGTTTCTGTTTTTTGGATATACATTAATGTTGCTTAGATACCTCTGAAGTCTCCTAGGTCAACTACTCCACACAACTGACACTTACCATCTTACTTGCTAAGGAATTTATCACTGTTCTTCCATCCATTCTGACCCAGCCATTTCCGCATTTGCTGTGTGTCTTTCGAGCCCTGGTGGCGCAATAGTTAAGAACTCGGCTGCTAACCGAAAGGTTGGCAGTTTGAATCTACCAGCCACTCCTTGGAAACCCCATGGGGCAGTTCTACTCTGTGCTATAGGGTCGCTATGAGTTGGAATCGACTTGACGTCAATGGTCTTGGTTTTCTGGGTTTACTTTTGTGTGTCTTTGTAACTGAGCTGACACTCTTGTTCTCCATCTAACTGTAGCAACAGCAGCAACAAACAGGGCTTCAGTCCAAGTGATATTCAACTTCCTGCAACCATTGTTCTCAAGAGTATGGCATATTGAAAATAGTTCATCCTCCATTTCTCAATTATAGACATACAGACTCCAGAGATGAGTTCATTCTCTTATTCAAGTGGTTTATGCAGCCTAGCACAGACATGACAATAATCTTCTGAAGCGAATTTTAAAAGATGCTGTTCACCCAGTAACAGAATCAAGAAGCCACAGAAACATGAAAATTTGACAAAGAAGTTCCTAATAATGGCATATAAATCCCATATTACAAAATTCATTCACTACATTTATCACACATTCATTTCACCTGCTTAAAACACACTTCAAAAAGGGTTCAAATAAGTCACTAATTGGTAATTACTGCTGTCTGGTTTAGTGAAAGGACTCTGATGAAAGGGACCTGAGTGTCACACCCATGGCAAACTCTGTTTCTCGGGTCCATCAGCCATCAGTTGCCTAAGCATGGACGTTGCTGCATCCAGCCAAGTCCCGCTTACACGATAGTGCTGGGACCCTGTTCTCCTCTCTGGATGATGGAGAGCTGACCTGTGTCCAGAGGAACGTCTGTCTATTTTAAAAAAGGATCTGAATCTTCTCCAATAATCCATCAAAGAACAAAAGAATGGCGGCAAGGGTTTGGAAGATTAATTTCAAAGTGCTAAACAAAGGTGAAGATGATAATACAAAGGAACATAAGTAACTCTGGGTCCATTTGGGCTCATCAGAAAATTCTGAAAAAATACATTTTTTCTACGGATAACTTATTTATGACTTCCCTGTCCAAGTAAGGAAATTAGTGAGTGATGGTCACTTTAACAGGGAAGGACAGATCTAAATGTTATCCAAGATTAGAGAGTACATATAATCTCAGTTTTAGGAGAGCACGGATAATGGTCTCATTTTTCAAGCTTTTTTGGAATATGTTTTAGCATACATATTTAAATGAGGAGACTTCTCTTCCCTTTTAAACAATAATTGAACAGTTGTTTTTAAAGCTTTGGTAACAAAGTTATGAGTAAGCACTTTCCTTTTCGGTCTTAAGATAAGACTGCTTGGAGAGTACTAGCTCGCTAAATACCGTTAGTCTTCATCGTATGACAGGGTTCTGTTTCGATGACTCTGTCGTAAGTTGGTTCTGACATAAGTCAAATACCTCTTTTTTTTTTTTTTCCAGTTTTCATAGCCTGCTATACAGCAGTGTTTTGATCAGTAAATCATAACACTGAACATCTCTGAGTGAACATCTGAGAATGATAACATTAGCAAATTACACACTGCAACATTGTATGTAGCACATATTACTAATGATAAGATGTACACACACCAAAAAAAGACAGTCGTTAAGTGTGGTTCATCATAACTTGAATACATTGTAAGTCGGGGACTACCTGTACACCATGATCTTACCTAACCCAGAGGTTAAATTACATTAACTCAATAATAAAATTTTAATATAGGCTGGAATAGCTCAACCTAGGAATGGAATTATTTCCTTTTTACATTAGAACATTCTTTAGGGACATTTTACAATGAAGATTTTCATAAGTGTATATTTATCATGAGACATTACAAATATTTTTGCCAGAAATTTTCTTTTGGATAGTTTAAACATATGTGGATACTTACATGGCCACTTAAAATGTCCTCATATGAAAGAACACTAAAATATCAATTCAGAGTTCTAAAATAATATAACTACCATTTTTTCAATAATATCATCTGTCCAGGGCTGCAAAATTTATACTTTGTACATAAATTTAGGGCACTTGATATTGTTCATCCTCCTACCTCCCAAAAAGGCAACAAGAAAACCTCTGTCTATTGCTAAGATATAACAGCTGTAATTAAAAAAAAAATCACAGAACAAAAGATGGGAATCATTTGGAAAGTCAACACCAGAAGTACAATTTTAAAAGGAGTTGTAAAGCAGGGCACAGAAAGATGACAACAGGAGAAGGAATGAAACAGGAATAGAAGGCACTGATTTTGGAATCCAGGAATCCAAACAAGAATCTAGGAGAAAAGGAGTTTTCATATAGCATGTTTCAAATTTTACAAAATCTAATCAAAACCTGAAAAATTTAAATGTTTATTTGTATTTTAAACCTAAGGGGCCCTGGTGGTACAGAGGTTAAGCATTTGGCTGCTAACAGAAAGGTTGGCGGTTCAAACCCACCAGCCAGCTCCACAGAATAAAGATGTGGCAGTCTACTTCCATAAAGATTACAGCGTTGGAAATCCTATGCGGCAGTTCCACTCTGTCCTATGGGGTCGTTATGAGTTGGAATCAACTGGACAGCAATGAGATTTTAAATCGGATGCTTCAAAAACAACCCAAACTAACCAACCTACAATTAAGAGTTCTATAGCACTAAAGGATAGGTACAAAGCTAAGGCCAGCAAACAGGAGGTTAACCTTGAGCCTCTGTTACTCTCCTTTGTGCATGGTGCACCTTGCATGGTACAGAGAGACCAGATTAACAGCAGCAACAAAAAAAAAACCTAACCCGTTGCCGTCAAGTCGATTCTGATTCATAGCAACCCTATATGACAGAGTAGAACTGCTCCATAGGGTTCCCAAGGCTGTAATTTTCACGGAAGCAGACTGCCACATGTTTCTCTTGTGGAGTGGCAGGTGAGTTTGAACCGCCAACCTTCCAGTTAGCAGCCGAGCACTTAAACACTGCACCACCAGGGCTCTTTACCAGTTTCACAACCCCCCATAAAAGAGATCACAGCACAGCAGCTCAGTCAAGTACTAGGCAGCTCAGGACCCATGGGGAAGCTTAGCTGTCAACATCTTTCCTGCGCTGGAGGCAAAGACACATTTGCTGAATAATACATTTCCTGGATTTTACTGAGCTTCAGCCAAAATAGTTGCTCCACATAGTCAACATTACAGTTGACCCATATGACAGACTTGTATTAATAATGGCTAACATTTACGGCGTTCTTACTATGTTCCACTCCTATTTCAAATGCTTTATGTGTATTATTTCAATTCATTCTCACAATACTGTAAAGGTAGTACTCTTCTCCCTTTTGACATCTCAGGAGATGGAGCAGGTAAGGCGTTTTGAGCTGAGATCCCCCTCTAGGTCTGTCTTTCTTCACAGCCCATGCTCTTAACCACTACAAAAGGTACGATACAGAAAGTACAAGGGAAACATCGCTGAAAGTTTCTAATAATCAAAAAACCGAGCCTGTTGCCGTCGAGCTGATTCTGACTCACAGCAACCCTATAGGACAGAGTAGAACTGCCCCACAGGGCTTCCAAGGTTGTAAATCCTTACAGAAGCAGACTGCCACATCTTTCTCCTGCGGAGCAGCTGGTGGGTTTGAACTACTGACTTTCTGGTTAGTAGCTGAGCGCTTAACCACTGTGCTACCAGGGCTCCTTTTAAATTTATAAAATCCATTCTAAAATGCCAATGTGATGTATGAGATGATAGTGCTCTTAAAGCTCGAGGTACAATATTTTATGGCATAAAGCATACACACAACATACACACACTTATAAAGTGGCCTGCACATACTTTAACCATATAAATGTTGAAAAATTTTTGTTGTGAGAAATTTTCAATGCTATTTAAAGTGTCTTCAAATGTCAACATAATGTCTTAACCTGATACACAAAGTCTATATCAGAAAGTGCCTGAAAAGTGAAGAATGGCTAAGTATGACTATGTTATTTCCTTATTAGGAGATTAGAATATGCTGAGTCTGTAACAACTGAGTTGTTTTTTATGAAGTATAAAACTGATGATAATCACAAATGCTAAGATGCAAATGAACTGTACTATATACAAATCAGTTCTTGCTTTTGTACCCTCCCCCCACCAAAAAAGATACAACACTGAGATTACAAAGTCATCTGTTAGATGGCTTTAACTCTACTGAACTGGAACCAAGAGTCTGCAGGTCGGTTCCAGAGCTGAAAGTCAGAAACTACAGACTGTCTCTGCCACCAGTTTGCTGCCTCATTTACACAAATTACCTCATTTTCAGCACCTCAGTTCAGGGCTTCAAACTGGTTTGGTCCAGTTCAAACCCCTGCAGAGAAGTTGCATTTCCACCCCAAATATACTGAATCAGAACCTACAGTTTAATAAGATCCCAGGTGATTCTTATATATATTAAATTTTGAGAATCACTGCTCTACTAGTGGTTCTCAGAGTTGGTCCCTAAGCAGCAACATTAGCATTGCCCGGGAAATTGTTAGACATGCAAATTCAAACCAGTTTGAGGGACTGCCTCAGTTTCTTCACCTATCAAATGAGAATAATGATATCTGTTTTGCCAATTGCATTAAGTTGAATGAATGATGGCAAAATGCTACCCGATCTCTATAGGGAATTATCACTAATTGGGTACTGTGGTGGCATATGCTATTTAATCAGTTGGGTTAGGATGGGGTAAGGTGGGGTGGTACTGTTAACTTTTCGAATTGCTTTCACTTCTGACTCATCCTTTGAGCCTCAAACCCATCCTGGAAATAGGCAGGACAAGTATGATTATACAGTTGGGGGAAAGAGGTATTAGGTAGTTATGTGGCTGGCCTCATGTCATACAACTAGTTAGGGACAGAGCCCAGGAATACACTTTTCCCAACTCCCAGTCCAGTGTCTTTCCTCTCTGCTGACTCAACGATGTAACCCAATGGTTAGGAAGGATGGAGCAAGGAATACCGAGAGTTTTCATTCTAAGTACACCCAACAAGGTCACAAACATCTTAAATTGATGAACTGGGGAGAATAACTCTCGTTACCGACCTGACACTTGGAGTTTGTAGAACTGAAACACACACCTTAATTTCTGGGAGCTGCATAACCTCAGGAAAGACTTCAATGCAATTGGAGTGAGCGATCACGGTGTGCATGCGCCTGCAGCTCATGATGGTGGTCGGGATGGCTTTCAGTTTATTCCCACTGATATCAACTTCCTCAAGTTCCTCTAGTTTTGCCATTTTACTAAAAAAAAGAAAATCCATGGGGGAGGGGATTATAAAATAATTACAAGGCAATTTAAAAAGAAAATAATATATAACCAGAATCGAAAGGGGGAATTTACTATGACGTTAACAATTCTTTAAAGATTCACTTGTGTTAGTCATGTTTAAAAGAAAGTTTTTTCACTACTGTTTATGAGTACTGAAGTACTTTAACACCTCTTTTCCCACTACAAAACAAAAACTATTCACCTCAGCTCTTCAAATTGGCAACAAGAAGGAAAATGCATGTTCTTTTCCTCATAAAAATCTGCCTGTAAATTAAGTTACCCCGGCAACAATCACTTTGCTATGTAGCTTAGTCTGAACTCCAATGAAAATCCTACTCAACTGGGTCAAAAGCCAGTGTTAACCAAGAGCTAAGTTGATAGTCTGACTTCTTTGTATTGGCACTGAAAACTCAACAGGGATGTAGGGGGAGAATATGGCTACAATACGGCTACCGCTCATACTAAGATATGCTGTCTCCCAAAAGCCCACTTCCAAAATTCCTCTGATATCATTCATGATAATGAGGTGGTAGACCATCTGTTGGCTTTCTGACAGTGGCCCCAAAGAATCTCAAGCATCTACAAAGAAGGAGTCTCTCCCACCTTAACTTAATAACATGTTCTCATGTAATTTAACATTTTCACTTAATAATGTCTTTTATTGTTCAATGTTAACGTATCATGCAATAATTTGAGGAACCAAATTAAGAAAAATGTCAGAGTTAGGGTGTCTTGCATTCTTTTTAAGTTTGGAGAAAAAATAGCCCCTCCACCTCTACAAGCACTATCATAGCATCCATCACTCCTCTGATCCTCGTTCTGCAACTGGGAATACTGGACTCCAAGAAGTACAGGATTCCCAGTGAGTGTAACTCAAACTCATAATCTGGGTCACTTAATTTATGGCTATTAGTATCTTTTTCTTCTTGTTTTGGTTTCATTTGTGGCAATACACCTTTAGTTAGCAAAACCAAAAACAAAACAAACAAACAAAAAAAAAACAAACCCTTTATTATTACTTTTCTTTCTGTCAACTCCCAAATATAAAGGTTATCTTATTTGCTCATCTTGAAAATAAGTATGTGCCTAAGATACAAGAAGAACTAAGGTTTTATCTTTTGAAATCAGATCTTTTAGTACAACCAATAGCCAACATAGTAGCAGGACATACTACCAACAACATTACATACACAGACTGAAGCAATCCATCTATGATATTGTAAGAATATCACTTGAATATGTTACCATCATATTTTGAAAGAAATACAGAGAAACCAAAGGGTAATGAGGCATAAAAAAATGGTTAGAATTAGAGAAATTAGCTCAAGGAGGAAAAGTTAAAGAAGTTTATAACCTTCAACATAGAAAGGTGGTTAAAAAATGACTTGATCGCTGCAGTAGATTCTTTAGTTCAGTGACCATCTGCTGAATGTCTACCATGGCCAGACCCTGGGCGAGACATGAGGTTCAAGGAGACAAGTAACCCTTCAGGAGCTCAGGGTCTTATACGGGAACTGCTCTGCCACATCATAACCCTCTGAAGGGAGCTGGAAATTATAGCAAGATGGATTTCTACCAGGTGCATATGAAACTTCTCTGCATTAGGGTAATTACAACAGGCATGGGTCACCAGGGGGAAGAGCCTCAGAGCCAGAGTGGATGGTCATTTCACCTAAAGGATTAGATGTTCACCATTATGAAACAGGACGATGAACCTTTCCTAATACATTACTGTTATGTGATTACCATGTTTTCTTCCAAAAACAGTACCTCCCTATCACACAGTAAAAGGACACAGGAAGTAAACAAAAAATAGTTTAACCATTAACATCAAATGAGGAAAAAAATTAAAAAAAAATATATGACAAAACCCAGAGCAATACTTTAAGTAAATGTGTATCGGAGCCTTCCTGCTTTAGCAAGGGCTTAAACAAACCAGCAATCCTCATGACAGCAGAGGGAGGCTGTGCCAGTACTTTCATTTGGCCCCAACTGTGAGTTGCAGTTACCAGCATAATACCAGAGGGGTTAGTGTTTGCTTTGATGAGTGGGTGTGTGTGCTAAGTTCTAACTTGTGAAGTGGATAAATGCCAATGAAATGGAAGCAGAGTAAACCCTTCATGACGGACTCAGTGTGCAGATTCACTCAAAGCTACATACAATGCCACTATTACCAAAAACTAGAAATGAAAATTAAAATAGAATTAAAAATATAATCTCAAGTCATGCGTTATTTGCAATGCCACAGTTTCCATGGTTGCATATGCCACCACTATTTTTCATACTATGTGCATGAATACAAAAGCTGGTAGGTAATAAAGAATCTTCAAGTTCCTAGTTTACATTCTGATTCCCACATGCCATATTAGGTTAATTTTTAAAAATTAATTTGATGCTTAAAAAGAAACAAAAGAAAAATATACCCACTAAATAACATTACTTTAAAATCATAAGAATATTCTAGTGGGTCTCTGGATACATTCATATTAGTAAAATCAATACATTCCTCATTAGGAGAATGTTAATCATGGCTTGTATAAAAGACAACTGTAACCAAGAATGAGAGAGGAAGAAGCTTTATATTCTCTGAAAAATAAACACTTTTTGCTTTCCCCTTTGCATCTGTGAATACGTTTTCAGCAATGCAATCAAACACACCACTTTCCGATCCTGCTTTACCTTGCTGGGAAACTTTGAAGTCGGTTATAGGCCATGTGGAGGATCTTCAGATGGGGGTGCCCTGTTAACAAGGGCACACACTTATCTGTGAGGCTGTTATTTGTCAAATACAACTCTTGTAAGATGCTGCTTGTCTCTTCAGAAAGTGTGGCTGGAGGGAGGGTTTCCAGTTTGTTCGCAGATGCATTCAGGAATCTCAGGCTACAACGACAAAATGCAACAAGACCCTGCTGATGAACCAAAGCTCAGAATCCTCAACAGACCTACAAGTTTTCTGATTGATGCCAGGCATACTAGAGGTGGAGTTCAGAAACAGGAATTAAAATTTTGCTATACGATACCTGACCCACTAGCTATGATAATGAACACAGCAGCTATCTATACATGATAAATACAAAGAAATATAAATCGTTAGAAAGCACAAAGGTGGGAGGAAGTGATTAATTCTACAGCTGGTGGGGGTGGAGGGGAAAGTGGTAAGATAAAGTTAATATTCTGAGTTAGGAAGAGAAAATAAATTATCTATTTTTTAATAAGATGGTTCTTTCTCATAGTAATAAAACAATTAGGCCTTAGATCACATACTACAAAGTTATACAGTGACTAAGTCCTTTCTAGTCAGGATATTTAAACCATTTTTCACTGAGATACATTCACAACTGTAAGAGATAGCTCCTTCTGTATTAAAATGAGGGTATACTGCGTAATTCCGTATTTATAAAGTTCAAAGACAGGCAAAACTATCTAAAGTTATTAGAAGTCAGGGTGTGGTTACTCTTGAGTGGCGGGTGGGAAGGCTTGTCAGTGTCTAGGAAGGGGCTTCCCGGGTTTGGATAATGTTCTGTTTCTTGATCTGGGCGCCGGTTACACAAGGATGTTCACTCTGAGAATATCCATCAAGTGGTGCTCTTATGATTTGGCCGCTTTTCTGATGGCACAGTGGTTAAAACACTTGACTGCTAACCGAAAGGTGGGCAGTTTGAACCCACCAGCCGCTCTGCAGGAGAAAGATGTGGCAATCTGTTTCTGTAAAGATTACAGCCTTGGAAACCCTATGAGGCAGTTATACTCTGTCCTATGGGGTCGCTACGAGTCGGAATCAACTCAACGGCAACAGGTTATTTATATTATACTTCTGGCACAGTGGTTAAGAGCTCGGCTGCTAACCAAAAGGTGGGCAGTTCAAATCCATCAGCCGCTCCTTGGAAACTCTATGGGGCAGTTCTACTCTGTCCTATAGGGTCGCTATCAGTCGGAATCGACTTCATGGCAATGAGTTTGGTTGTTTTTCTTTTTTTCAGAAAAATTTGCATGAAAGCAAAAAAATATATGTTTCCAGATGATAGACTGAACAATGGATAAAATCTAAAGTATGATTTTATACCCAAAATAACAAAAATTGTCAAAAACTGTATAATTCTTCCATAGCTTTGTGAACATAGATAAGTGCAAAATGCAAAGCTTGAGAGCTGAAACAGAGGCCTTGCTGTGATCAGGTTCCAAATCATTCCCAAGAAAAGGGAAGGACAGTGCAGGTACTGTGACATAAGTCAGGAGTTGGACAGATGACTCCCTCTTCAAATGGATCTCCAACTGCGAAGCCACAGCAACTGTAGAATTGAGCGGATTCAGCCCCTAGGACTCTCCTCCCATGGTCACAAGGTCAAATCTGCCTGGCCTCCCACCTGGGTCTACCCTGCAAGCGAACTTGGGCCATTCTCTCACTTCCAAATCACCTAGGCTTGATAGTATTAGATTGAGGATTATTCTGTTACTTTGTTAGGAAAAAATAATAAAATACTCCTTAAAATGAAAGCATATGAAATATCAGGTACATATTGACATTTGATCTTGGGTAAAAAGAAGGTTTTGTACTCAGGAGTCATCACCAGGACTGTCATTCCAAACTCTCAATCCACTGATTTAATTCTCCAATCTCGCACCTCCCCAAAACCTGCCCCTCCCCCACAAACCAATCCTTCTACTTATCTGAGGAAAAGCAGCTTCCCAAAAATAGAACATTTTCCATTAAAGAAACACGTATTCTGTTGACATTTAAAAAAAAAAAAAAGTCAGAGAAGGGTTGTACAGACCATAAATAGTCATGGGAAATTATAGTCGTGTGTGCTACAGAGAAGAAAATAAAGGTCATTCGTGCAGTTTTTGAAATGATTTTGAACTAGGAAGGAAACCAGTTTCAGCACCATAGCTCTTTAAAGTATTTTTGTAAGTCTGTTTCTTTAGGTCTTATTTATACGACCTGATTTGAGTGCCCTGTTAAGAACTTCTCCAATATAGAAATATTCTTACATTTTAATGCCCTAAAATATTACGGACTGGGGTTGGCTAGGAAACCATTGACGATCTCATTAAAATACAGTTCTCTAAGAAGTACGTAAGTAGAGATATATAAAAAAGAGAGAGGTGAGAGAATGAATTCACAAATGTTTGCGTATTTTTAGACTGGAAAAAGAGGGAATGATTTTTTGAAAGGAAAAAAAAAAAAAAAACAATGACAAGTGAACACCTACCTAGAAAGCTACAAAAGGGACTTGAAAACCCCTCACAGTATCTGAGTGAAGGAAACAAAGTGACTTCCAAAAAAGACTTGTCCTATCATCTTGTTGAAACTTTCTTGTACTTAAGGAGCTATACACCCTTCATGGACGATTAAGGGGGAAAAAAACCTGCACCCTACCCTCCAGGAAATGAAACTAAGTTAAAACTACATTGGCTGGTTCCAAAGGACTTCATTTGCACTGAGTAAAGTGTGACCTTCATCATCATGTTAGTTAGCGGTCAAAGAGCAAAACAATTGGACTAAACAGATTTCTGATTATAATGGTCTCAGAAAGTAAATTTGATACTCATCCTCTTAAAAATAAAACACTCCCCTCCTCCCCGCCCCTCCATATGTTTTGGCAGAAGACAAATTAAGTTGATTTAATGGTTGTGGTGTCATACTTCTAGCAGAATGAACAACAACTTTAATTGTGCAGATTTTCGCCTGTTTGGATAACAGCTTTACTGAATAAATAAATAAATAAGAATTAAATTCCTAAAGCACTGAGTTTGGTCTCACCTCAATATGATGTGATAACCACTTTATAGATTTTTGTAATAACTGTATAAAAAGATCATTTAATGTGCCAAGAGAGGTTTCATCCATATAGCCCTTCTCATTAGGCAACCCTCTTCTACTAAATCGAGAAACTGCAGTAACTCGACACCACTGCTTTCTGTTCATTTGTAGGGTGCTTTGTAGAGACACAGCTCTTTCCTATGCTCTACCTCATTGGATTCTCAATCATCCCAAAGAGTTCCCCCCTCATTGTATTTTACAAAAGACCGAAAACGAACCCGAGAAAAGTTAAATTACTTGGCAACGGTGAAACAGTAATCAGTGGCAGAGCCAGAAATAAAACCCAGATCTCTCTTCAGTCTCAAGAGTCCAGTGTTACCCAACACATCTCTCCAAAATTCAACTGTTAAAGAAAATATTAATAAAAACTTTTTCCTGAGGACATTTTTATGGGCCTTTTTACCCTCCCCTACAAAAAAAAATTTAAAAAAAAAACTGGAGGTCAAGCAGGGCACCTGCTTGGGTAACGCAAAGGCCACATGTGCACAGCACATGAAACTGAATTCATAAAACAAGTTAATCAACAGCATAGTACTCAATTCGAGAAAGTTTCTTAGCAGAAAGTGCAAAAGTCAGAGAGAACAGACACATATATGGCCCCTGCCATAAAGCATCTGGAAAGTCACCCACCACAGCAGTAAGACAAATCCATTTCCTGCTTCCCAAGCAATCGTTCTACTCTTCCCTGGCACATTCTGCCCAACCGTTCAGGTTCATCTAGGTGTTTCTGCCTTGTTTTGTTTGTTTGCTTTTTAGTAATTTCTAGCACATCCTTAAATTTTACAGCCAAATTCTGTCCTTGAAACAAAGCACAGGATTTTGTACCATACAGATTTACCTACTTGTAGGCATACCAGATATTCTGCATTTAAGTCATTTCTCTGAATATAGCCGTAAAATTCTTAACAAAATACTGACAAGTAGAATTCATCAATATATAAAAAGAATTATACACCATACCCACGTGGGGTTCATTCAAGGGATGCAAGGATGAATCAATAAGCAAAAATCACTCAACGTAACCTACCATATTAATAGGCTAAGGAAGAAAAATCACATGATTGTATTAATCAATGCAGAAAAAGCACTGGATAAAATTCAACACCGAGTCATGATTTAAAAAAAAAAATTCTTCAGAAAAACAGAAGTGGGATCATGGGGGAGCTTGTTAATCACACAAATCCCTAAGCTATCCCTCTAAAGTCTAAGTCAGTATGACTGTGATAAGGACCAGAAATTTGTATGTTTAACAAGCATTCCAGGGATTCTGAAGACACACTTTGAGAAACACTGTTTTATTCCACTATGGCTCTCAAAACATCTGAACTTTACTAGATAGCTCTCTTCACTAAAAAACACAGTGCAGGCAATTTAACTCTTCAAAATGCCAGAAATAATCTGTCTTTGCCAAAAGGCAGGAGATGTTATGGTCAATTGATCTTGTTCTCTACAATTTTTTCTTCTCTTTTAGCCCCCATGGTATTTACACATATTCTGTCTGAGTCACTGAAACTCATGGTCTGGAACGTGACTAATACTCTGGGGATATTTAATAAATATAAAAGGAACAATTAGCATGTACTTCATTTGCATATACATTCCCCACTCCCACACCTGAAAATACCTTACTCTGCTCCAACTAGGGATTAAAACAGACCCTAATGTCAGCCCACAACAATAATCTACAAATATCCTTCACAGGGTCCATTTTGGCTTGACTAATTAGACTGACTTCATCAGGATGAGAGTGCTGATGCTAGGGGGACAGGGAGTTGGTGAGCACCAAGATTTCAGGAAGGAACAGAAGGATGGCAGAACCTCAGACAGCTTCTTATGCACTCCGCTGACCCAGGGGGAATATCTACTCCCCACCCCGCCCATCTGTTGATGAAAACTGACTATCTGAAACGCTTCTGGGGGCTTCCATCAAGACAATCTCAACTCAAAACAAAAAGAGGTAACATGAGGAATCCAGGCCCGTAAGATCCAGAATAGAATATGATCCAGTTCACCCAACAGAACATATGGTCCATCATATTTCATATTTGTCTATAGCTTTTGAGCTGCCAGTGAAGAGCAAGTCAAAATAAACAAAACTCAAAGATAAATTTGGAGAGTAAATTCATAAGCTGAAATTGCTATTAAGTCATAAGAATTTTAAAAAAATTGTCTGAAGTTTTGAAAGGAAGATGAAAATGTTACTAAGTCATTTAATTTAAAGTAGAGTTCCTCAAATAACTTCTTGCTACCAGGTAAAGCAAATTGATATGTACTACTCTAAAATAACATTTAACAGACAACATCATGTAATTAAAACCATGAGATTACACCTAAATCTACTTGAGCAAGAAAGATTCAGAGCTAAAGAAAAACTCCCAAGAAAGAGAGGGGAAGTGTGGTCTTTTGCTCTGTACACATTCTTCTGAAGCTCTTTTGAAGTGTCAAGCTACCACTTCCACTCAGAGCATGAACTAAGCCATTTTTAACTTATAGAACACTTGTACTCAGGCCCACTCCTCAGTTACATAACCAAACACAGAACTGGTAACAATAGTTTATTATCATAAAAAATGCATGAAAAAAGGAGCAGCTATATCTTTTTTTTAAGATTTGGATTATGCATCAGAGACTGGAAAGATTCTTTCCATAAAAACACTCTTTAATGCTTTAAATTTAATGTCTTCTGGGTTGACCTGATTCCACAACTATCTGCACTAGTTTATTTCTTCTCCCCCAAACTCATCATACCAATTACACAAGATGTGTACATTTTCCTAAATATAAATTATGCATCAATTTAAAAATAAAAAAAATATATAATAAAAACTTCTTTAAAAGGTTGGGGGTAGTAGGTAAAACCTCTACTGTTTAGGTTTTGGAAAGGGGATAAGTAAAAACATTAACTCTTTAAGAAGCAGTAGTTTGGTGGGAATCATTATAAAACCTTCCATTTTTCTTGTCTTCTAACAAGTGAAATAATACAAAGATGTGGTTTAAATAAGAGCTACAGGCAGTGCCAGGATTAGGATCGAGATCCTTTCCTACGTCTGTCTTTAAGTCGAATTTGAGGTAAGTCAGAACAGGTCCATACAGTTCTTATTTAGCGTCAGTCAAATGTTTGTCTTAGGATATAGTATATATCTTACCTTTCTGTGCATATAAAATACTTAACAAACACTTTCAAACTGCGCAGTGTTTTCATGAGTGTCACAAAGTAGTGAGTGTGTTTGTTATTATGACTCATTGTATTTAACTCAAATTTTAATACAGTAGGCTTTATGGTAGTCCATTCTTAAGTATAAGTTGTCAGTAAGTTGGACTTCGTAACCCAGAGACTGCCTGTAATCATTTCTGCCCCACCCCCATCATAATCCTATCTGCCTGAGATAACCAAACCTCTGAACGTTTTGTTCTGACTCAGAGTGATGACTAACTAGACCAGTTGCTATGCTATGCTGGAAATGTAGCTTATTATATTGGTTGGAAAACAGAGGCACTGGAATATGCCTTCCTAAAAAGGTTTCATGGCTCACCTTTTTTAGTCATTGGCTTCTCTCTCATAAAACTGGAATGTTTGCTCCTTATTTCACCCAATCCCTTGTTCTAGGGAGTCCTTACTCCAGAACTCTCCTGTGCCAGAGACGCATTTAGCATGGCCCTGCCATCCTCTCTCAAGACCTACAGAGGCTGGCTAACTCCCCCCACAATAGCCTCTATTTTCCAAAATACAGATAGACCATTCTGCTTGGACTATGGTCATTTCTGCCTACTTGCCTTTAAAGTATACTGTTAGCTTAGCTTATACTGTTCTCCATAACAGCAATGTCTTCCTTTAGTGACTCAACTCAGGTCCTAATTTTTCCACGGTACATTACTAGAAATACTCCAGTTCATACAAGCTTCCCTTTTCCAACTTACAGATTCCATGTGGGAAGTGTATACAATCTGCAAGACGAGAAAACTGAGGTTTAGAGTGACCTGCACACGGTCGCAAACTCAGCAATCAACACAGCACTTGCTCTCAATCCTTGGGGTTGTCAGAACCACCTGTCGGCCAACCAAAACCTGCACTTGCTATTGCTCAAATCCTGGTCTAAACATGTATAAGCATGAAAACACAGTCTTCTCGACTACACTGTGAGCCCCTCTAGAAATATGTTGTTCCACAGTGCCAAGCACACTCACTGACTACATACTGACTGACTCTAGAGAATGAAAAATTTATATAGAGTTGTCCTTTTAAAATCAAATCCACGCAAATGAATACAGATAAGAATGACTATTATCTATTAGAGACATTTGCCTACTCTATTACCCATGAACTTACCTGTCTTGGCCAAGGACAGGAGCTGCCAATACTGTCCCAGAGAGAAATGGTTTTCTCTCACCCAAAAACCAAACTCACTGCTGTCGAGTAGTTCCAACTCATAGCAACCTGAAAGGACAGAGAAGAACTGTCCCATAGGGTTTCCAAGGCTGTAATCTTTATGGAAGCAGACTACCACATCTTTCTCCTTTGGAGCAGCTGGCGGGCTCAAACCACTGAAATTTCTGTTAGTAGCTGAGTGCTTTAACCACTGCACCACCAGGGCCCACTTCCCTCACTCAAAGACCGCCAAAACCTGAATCCATCTACTACTCTATTTATTTCTATAGATTCAGTGTTGACCTCTAGAGGAACAAGATTTTCATTACAAATCTGCACCCCAGTTTTGTCTAGTTTACCTTATGAAAGAAAACACAAAATTTCAATGTAATTTCTAATTCTCAGCAGGAGAGGATATAGTGTTCACAACAACAAAAGCATACATGTAGAGCTACCTGTATGCTACACATCATATTCTGATACAGTGCAAAAGCAATGATCTTGAAACACTGCCCTTATTGTAGGAGGAATGCCACAGCACTGGTCAATTACGATATGACAAACCCATTGCCTCACAATTTCATCATTTCTCTATATTTGTTCTAACAGGGATTCATTGTAACATAAATATATTGAAGATAATGTAAAAAAAAAAAAAAAGGCGAGGAAAATAAAACAGAAGGAGAAGGAAGGGAATGCTGGAAAAGTTCTGTACCTTCATCTGGGTGATGGTTACACAGGTACATACATACATGAAAATTCATTGAGCAGTGCACTTAAGAGTTGTACATTTTACTGAAGGTAAGTTATATCTTCATTTAAAAAAAAGATTAAAAAAATGGAAGAGAGGGGAAAAAAATCCAGGAATGAGAGCAGCATTTAAAAGTCATTAAATTCTATCATTCATTAAGCAAATATTTGTTGAACACCTTGCTTGTTCCAGACACCACACAAGATATTGAGGATAAAACTACAGTTAAGACACAGTCATTGGCCTCAGAGTTTATAATCCAGTGGTGGAGACAGACAAGTAAACAAGAAATTACAACACAGTGTGCGGTAAGTAGAGGACAGAAGTACGTGCAGGGGACTTGGGAACATATGATGGGGTATCTAACTCAGCTTAGGAGAGCCAGAGTTCTCAGACTGCTGTTTCATCCATGAAAAATCTTACATGCTAAAACCTACCTAAAACAATTTTGTTAAAGCAAAAAGATCCATCATCATTTTCTTCTCTTCAGTTCTAGGAGCATAAAAAAATGTAACTTTTTTGTCTTCATAATAAGGTACACTAAAAGTGACATCCTTCATATTGTCTCTAAAGTTATAGTTGGTCACTAAAACTAAACATCAGCAGAAGTTGAAATGATTCAGGCCACCAGGCTATGGAGTATTTTAGTACAACTCAACAAGGGAATAATCCGGGCTCTCAGGCAAACAAGATGTTCCAAAGTTAACAGTCACAGTTACTTAAAGCTTTCTTTAAAGAAAGTTCTGCATGTAGCAACACTTCACAGAAAACAGAATTTTAGTGTTTAAACTAGCCCCTCCCCCCCCAAATCAAAATAACTTCTTTAGAATGCTTCGTGAAACAAGTTATAAATATTTAGAAAAATTTTGTTTGTTCAAAGTAAAACAGTTTACTTAAATGTGAGGGGAAAACTGTAGTAAAGAACGACTGGTAAAAACAAAACAAAACAAACCTAGCAAACTTTAGGAAAATCTATCTCTGTCACCAAAGTCATGAACATGTGAAAGCAGGAACAGAGAATCTTAAGATAATTAAGTAAAGCCTGTGAAGTGGCCTGTGCAAGTCTGAACCAGGCAGCAATACAGGAGTATACCTTTCATCCTTTTTTACCTACACCCCCATAACACATACCTATGTACAACTTAACCTACATCTCTTCTCTAGAAAGCAGAGAAATTAATAAAGAATCTATAGGATACCCACACCTCCATCCCCTACAGAATGGTCAAAGAAGTGGCTGGCAAAACCATGTTTTCATTAGTCTAGGACAGATGGACAATCAGCAAGTTCACACATGTATCTCAGACCACACAAGACAAGAATGCTAATGGGGTGTTATTTTACAGACAGAGAAGAGTAAATAGAACGAGCTGCTTTACCTGTCAGCCTTCATCAGAAGGTTGGGCGGCAGTTCAAGGAGCTGGTTGTGTTGCACGTCCAAGACCTCCACTGAGGTTCTTTCTAGCCTTTCAGGTAGCCTTGTCAGCTGGTTGTGTCCTGCCAGTAGTTTCCGAAGACTACTATTACAAAACAAGCTAGACAAAAAGGGACAAGAGACAGAAGGCAACTTACTTAGAGCTAATTTGGAGTAACGATTAAAAAACGATTAACAGCAAGAGGATACCTAAAATTCTCTAAAAATCATAAATTCATGCCGAGTAACTTAAAGTTCATTTTAACGTAAGCTCAAACTTGGAACTGTTTATATTTCAATACTTGTCATGCTTTAAAAAGAGTAGGGATGAAAGGAACTATGAAAAGGGATATTGAGCAAAGAAGCTCCTTAGTAAAAGAAGAAAAAGTTTCACAGAAGTTAATCCTGACTAATGTGATTGTTAGATAAACAAGGCAAGCTTTAAAAGGCACTGTGCTTCGCAGTGGTTAAACGCTACCGTTGCTAACCAAAAGGTCAGCAGTTCGAATCCGTCAGCTGCTCCTTGGAAACCCTATGGGGCAGTTCTACTCTGTCTTATAGGGTCACTATGGTCGGAATCGACTCAACGGCAACAGGTTTGGTGTGTGTGTGCATGCGTGCGCGCTTCTCCAAGGTAGGGGTTTGGGTCCTGTATTAACCCTAGAATGCCTGGTTGTATTAGATTTTTAATAAAATACAGCAGAGCAGTCTTTACCTACAGGATCAACATTAAAAAGGATACTTCTATCCAATTAAACTAAAAAAAAAAAAAGCCAACTAAGGAAAGGTTACATCTTTTCTCAGTTACTACCTTTCACCTTCCCCCTTTCCTTACTTCCCTGAGTCTGTATATTTTTGTTTTCTCTTTGGTTTAATCCTAGACCAAAGTAGAGACTCCTTCCTGAAGAGATTAGAATACAGTTAACCCACTATTTTCTTTGGAGCCTTGAAGAGTTGTTTGGAAGCATGGCTGTGCTTCTATTGGTTATCAGAACTGTAACCAAGATGACTACTTGCTAAACTCATGTAAATCTGCATTATGACCACTTCAGACTTCCCTACAGTTGTAGAGAATAAAACAAGCCCTGGGTTTAAACACAGAAATCTGCGGACTGTGGAACAGTGATGTTATGATTTCCACCACGATCACTATGGAATAAGAACCCATGCTGTCGAAGAGCAGGGCTTCTTCATCCACTTCCTATTTTCCATCATTCTGACTCTCATTCTCTGGTGTCCAAAGTTAACATTACAGTACACTACAGCCATAACTTTATTCACTCACAGAGACAAAAGCAACCTGTTTCAAGAGTGTGATACCACAGGCCACCATGAAAGATATCTGAAATGCCTAACTTCGGAGGTTTAAATATCAGTGTGGCGAGACAGATGATCTAGAACAGTCATTCAGTCAGTTATGCTGGGGGTGGGAGGTCACAGGGCACAGTCTCTCTGTAATGGTCACTTCAAGTCAAAAATTCAGGCTTCATGTAACCAATTTTACTACCTTGCTGCGCCTGAGGTACAAATTAGGATTCACAGAAGGTGGTATGGGGTTATCTATTATTTTCACATATATATTTTCTCTATCCTTTAATACAAGAATAACGGAAGACAGGTGACAAAATCCTTATCTTGACTTTTCCAATTAAAAAGTAGATTTGATAAACTCCAAGAAGAGTGTTGAATACTTACTACAGGATTTAGTTCAATTATTTTGAATACTATCTAAGCATTAAAATATCTTCTTTCCCTTTTAATATATTTCCACTTCTAAATATCCATTTCTGTTGTGTCAGTGCCTTCACCTACCTCACTTAAACAAAGCATGATTATTAAATTATTCTCTAATGAATATTAGAGAGTATTACATCAATGATAGGGCTGATACAGTTAGTGACTAACAGACATCATAAAAGCCAAAACAATCCATATTATTTTTGTCAATTAAAACAACAACAACACAGAAGAAAACACTGTTTAAATTCTTTGACAACAGAGCATTTGGGGTTTGTTTTGAATAAGCATTTGTTTGGATCCAAAAAAACAAAAGTCCGTAAAAAGAGCACAACAAATCTAAGATTAATTAACTTTCGGGAAAATTGGGTAAAATATCAGTTATCTTGTGTTTATCTGTTTATATATAGATACCTTTCCTGTAGCCTATAGTGAAACAGGCCTTCAACTCCACTGTGCTATCTGCTGGCTTGTGCTGCAGGGATGCTCTAAAGATGCCATTTGTGGCACAAATGCTTAATATGAGATGGCACAGTTCAACATACTCCATTTTGCTTGAATTTTGTATAGACTTACTGATCTGTTAACAAGACCTTCAGTGAATAAGTGTGTTGCGTGTGTGAGGGGAGGTTGGTGGGTGTCTTAGTCATCTAGTGCTGCCATAACAGAAATATCACAAGTGGATGGTTTTAACGAGGAGAAGTTTATTTCCTTACAGTCAAAGTAGGCTAAAAGTCCAAATTCAAGGTATCACCTCCAGGGGAAGGCTTTCTCTCTCTCTCGGCCTTCTCATCAGTGTTCCCCCAGACTAGGAGCTTCTCAGCCCAGGGACCCTGGTCCAAAGGACGTGCTCTGCTCCCGGCACTGCTTTCTTGATGGTATGAGGTCCCTCTGTCTCACTGCTCACTTCAGTCTTTTATATCTCAAGAGATTGCCTCAGGACACAATCCAGTCTTGTAGATCAGGTCCTCCCTAACACAACTGCCACCCATCCTCCCTCATTAACACCATAGAGGCAGGTTTACAACATACAGGAAAATCACACAGTACCAGGAGTCATGGCCTAGCCAAATTGATACACAGATTTTTTGGGGGACATAATTCAAACCATGACAGTGGGGTAGAGAGAAAATAGGAGGAAAGATATGGTGAAACCTTTCTTCAACTTTTTAATTCACATTAGTTAGTAGCCTGTTTTCATTGCTGCTGTTCCTCTTCTAAAAGGGATGAGACACACAGAACGGACAGACAGGGAAACACACACACACTTTCTCTCTCTATGCTGTCCACAGGGCACACTTCCAAAGTATTTCTCTTGACAATGATGATAGGTGTTCTGGGTCACCTAAATGCCCAATTAGTGCACATAATACCCCAGGACAGAAAGCATTTTCAAATGGATGACTGAATTTACAGACAGAATGTGGCTGAGGAACAAAGTAACATTAATGGAGCCTTCTAGGGACTGAAATGTAACTCTGAGTTCTTTTATAACAGCTAATATTCTAACACAGTGCCATTCAATAGAAATATAATGTAAGCCACATACATAATTTAAAATTTTCTAGTAGCCACATTAAAAAATATAAAAAGAAATAGGTGGATTAATTTTATAGTCTATTTCATTTGTTTGGATATATACCCGATATATCCTAAATATTAACATGTGATTAACATAAAAGATTGTTAATGAGATATTTTGCATCCAGTGTATATTTTATACCTACAGCACTTCTCAATCAGGACTAGTCATATTTCAAGTGCTCAATAGCTACATGTGGCTAGGGGCTACCATACTGGACAGTGCAATTCTAACACATTTGCCAAGCTTACCAAGCATGTATATTTTATAATTCTTATTCTTTAAAAGAAAACAAAACGATATTGATCATATACCTTTAAAGATCATGCCTCTACAGTAAATACTTACTCTGAAATGGTGACATACAATTATTTGATATTTTTGACTGCATACATTCAAGTAAACAATGGACTTCCTCTACTCAGTGATTGCCTGAGAATAGTGAAAATAGCTATACTTCAGCTGTTTAAAACAGTAGCAACCAGCCACAAGAGGCTATTTACATTAATTAAAATTAAATAAAACTAAAAATTCCGTTCCTCACTCCCACTAGTCACATTTCAAGTGCCCAAAAGCTACATGTGGCTAGCAGATGCCATATTTGACGGTCCTCATAGAAAGTTCTACAGGACAGCGCCGAGACAGACTACTCTTCTGGTTATTAATTGCATGGCTAGTCACTAATAGTCCAGTAATATTTTGTGCCACCATTAGTCAACTAAAAATTAAGATACCTGTCTGCATCTGTGGACACTGGAGAGCATCACATGGCTATCTAACAAATCTTACAATAAAACCAAATTATGAAATAAAAAAATAACACACATAGAGAGATTAGAGAAGGAAAGAGAAGTTGTGGGCTCTTCTACTGCCAATTCATATCAAGAAAATCAAAATCTAGTTTGTTCTTTCTAGCAATCTAACAATCATAAACACAGGCATACCTCATTCTATTGAGTTTCGCTGATACTGTTTTTTACAAACTGAAAGTCTGTGGTAACCCTGTGTTGAACAAGTCTATTGGCGCCATCTTTCCAACAGCATGTGCTCACTTCGTGTCTCTGTGTCATATTTTGGTAATTCTCGAAATATGCAGCGGTTATGGTGATCTGTAATCAGTAATCTTTGATATTACCATTGTAATTGTTTTGGGGTGTCATGAACCATGCCCATATAAGACAGTGAACTTAATTGATAAATGTTGTATGTGTTCTGACTGCTCCACCGACTGTCCCTATTCCCTGAGTCACGAAAATACTGAAATTGGGCCAGTCAATGACCCTATAATGGCCTCTAAGTGTTGAAGTGAAAGGAAGAGTGGCACATCTCTCACTTTAAATCAAAAGCTACAAATGATTAAGCTTAGTAAGAAAGGCAAGTCAAAAGCCCAGAAAGGCTGAAAGCTAGGCCTCTTGTACCAAACAGCCAAGTTGTGAATGCAAAGGAAAAGTTCTTGAAGGAAATTAAAAGTGCCACTCCAGTGAACACATGAATGATAAGAAACCGAAACAGCCTTATTGCTGATATGGAGAAAGTTTTAGTGGTTTGTATAGATCACACCAGCCAAAACATTCCCTTAAGCCAAACCCTAATCCAGAGCAAGGCCCTAACTCTCTTCAATTGTATGAAGGCTGAGAGAGGTGAGGAGGCTGCAGAAGAAAAGTTTGAAGCTAGCAGAGGTTTGTTCATGAGGTTTAAGGAAAGAAGCCATCTCCATAACATGAAAGTACAAGGTGAAGCAGCAAGTGCTGACGTAGGAGGTGCAGCAAGTTACCCAGAAGATCTAGCTAAGATAATTGATGAAGGTGGCTACACTAAACAACAGATTTTCAATGTAGACGAAATAGCCTAATATTGGAAGAAGATGCCATCTAGGACTTCAATAGCTAGAGAGGAGAAGTACAATGCCTTGTTTCAAAGCTTCAAAGGATAGACTGACTCTCGTTAGGGCCTAATGCAGCTGGTGATTTTAAGTTGAAGCCAATGCTCGTTCACCATTCCGAAAATCCTAGGGCCCTTAAGAATTATGCTAAATCTACTCTGCCTATGCTCTATAAATGGAACAGCAAAGCCTGGATGACAGCACATCTGTTTACAACATAGTTTACTGAATATTTTAAGCTCACTGTTGAGCCCTACTGCTCAGAAAAAAAAGATTCCCTTCGAAGTATTACTGCTGCTTGACAATGCACCTCGTCACCCAAGAGCTCTGATGGACACTAATGTTGTTTTCATGCCTGCTAACACAACATCCATTCTGCAGCCCACGGGTCAAGGAGTAATTTCGACTTTCAAGTCTTATTTAAGAAATACATTTTGTAAGGCTATACCTGCACAGACAGTGATTCTTCTGATGGATCTGGGCAAAGTAAATGGAAAACTTTCTGGAAAAGATTCAGCATTCTAGATGCCATTAAGAACTTTGTGATTCATGGGAGGAGGTCACAATATCAACATTAACAGGAATTTGGAAGAAGTTGATTTCAACCCTCATGGATAACTTTGAGGGGGTTCAAGACTTCAGCGCAGGAAGTAACTGCAGATGTGGTGGAAACAGCAAGAGAACTAGAATTAGAAGTGGAGCCTGAAGATGTGACTGAATTGCTGCAATCTCATGGTAAGACTTTAACGGATGAGGAGTTGCTTCTTATGGATGAGCAAAGAAAGTGGTTTCTTGAGATGGAACCTACTCCTGGTGAAGATGCCACGAACATCGTTGAAATGACAACAAAGGATTTAGAATATTACATAAACTTAGTTGATAAAGCAGTGGCAGGGTTTGAGAGGATTGACTCCAATTTTGAAAGAAGTTCTACTGTGGGTAAAATGCTATCAAGCAGCATCACTCACTACAGAGAGTGCAAACGTCACTGTTATATTAATTTAAGAAACTGCCACAGCCACCCCAATCTTCAGCACCACCACCCTGATCAGTCAGTAGCCATCAACACTGAGGCAAGATCCTCCACCAGCAAAAAGATTATGACTCACTGAAGCCTCAGATAATGGTTATCATTTTTTTAGCAATGAAGTATTTTTTTAAATTGTGTTTTAGGTGAAAGTTTGCATCCCAAATTAGTTTCTCACTCAAAAATTTATACACAAATTGTTTTGTGATATTGGCTGCAATCCCCGCAATGTGTTAGCATTCTCCCTCTTTCTCTTTACACTGGGTTCCCCGTGTCCAATCGTCCACATTTCCTGTCCCTTCCTGCCTTCTCAGATTGGCCTTTGGGCAAATGTTGCCCATTAGATCTCCTATACATGATTGAACTAAGAAGTATGCTCCTCACATGTGTTATTGTTTGTTTTATATGCCTGTCTAATCTCTGGCTGAAAGGCGGACTTCGGGAGTGGCTTCAATTGCATTTGCAGGGTATCCAGGGGCCATATTCTCGGGGATCCCTCCAGGTTCTGTCAGACCAGTAAGTCTGGTCTTTTTTTTTTTTTTTGTGAACTTCAGTTTTGTTCTACATTCTTCTCCTGCTCTGTCTCTCAGTCTGGAACCCTCTATTGTGATCCCTGTCAGAGTGGCTGGAAGTGCTAGCTGAATACTATCTATTTCTTCTGGGCTCAGGCTGGTGGAGGCTGTGGTTCACGTGGTTGCTTAGTCCTTTGGGATATTTTCCTTGCGTCTTTGGTTTTCTTCATTCTCCTTTGCTGCAAACGCGATGTGACCAATAGATGTATTTTAGATGGCTGATCACAAGTTTTTAAGACCCCAGACAGCAATAAAGTATTTTCTAATTAACATATGTACATTGTTTTTTTAGACATAATGTTACTGCATACTTAACAGACTACAGTATAATGTAATCATAACTTTTATATGCACTGGGAAACCAAAAAAATTGTGACTTGCTTTATTGTGATATTCGCTTTGTTGCGGTGGTCTGGAACCAAACTGAAATATCTCTGAGGTATGCCTGTACTCTTTTTCAAAGTTATGTTTGAGGGAAACAAATATTTGTAATGGGTTAGGTAGAGATATGTTAAGTTCATGGATACAAGTGGTAGATTCTGAAAGGATTAAGATTCCAGAGGTGAACCAATCACATTATTTGTCAAGTCTTCGAACGTTTCTTTCGGCTCATTTTAAAATGTCTAACAAGCTCCGTCCCCTGCGTGGCTTTGAAAAGCCTGGCTGAGAGACAAAGCCTCACTCTGCTTTTCACTGCATGAATAGAGTTTGTAACTTGAAGACCCTACATGAGGGAAAAGACACCAACTAAGATTTTAAAACAAACTCTTTTTAGAGGTTCATAATAACAAGTTAAACATGGAATCAGCTAATTTTTTTTTTTAATTGCTTAGCTTATTTGAAATTTACTCACTTGATATGCCATACTCACCGTGCAGGAAGCTCACATATTTGATTACGGCCAATATCCAAAACTTCCAGCTTTCGGCTTTCACATACCCACTCAGGCACATTTTCTAAGCGGTTCCTAGACACAAGAATATAAGAGTCTTTGGTTTGAATTGGAATTTGGTCTAAAATGTGATTCTGAAAATAATTACAAAGAATAAATAAAACTTCAAATGAAGTACCAAACTATAGTCAGTATAAATCAAAAGGATATGCGTGTTCATTTTAATCTAGAAGATGAATTGTGTTAAGGGAAAAGAAACAAGGAAAAAGTGAGAAGGACATTAGTTACATCATCTGCATTATTTCTAAAGCCTAAAAAGTCTATGGTTCCCAGAACTACTTACCTAAAAAGTCTACAGACCCAAGCAGGGTTAGGGGAGGATACTTTATATTGGAACACACACACACACACACACATGCATGCATGCATGCACGCACACACACGCGCACACACACACTCCAGTTAAATCAACAGTCAAATGGCATAAAATAGTTTTATTTTCAAATTTGCATTTTACCCTTAACATTAAAATACTTCTCAATTCTAACTGGCTTCATGAAAGCACAGTCATACATAAATGAGAGGCATGAAAAGTGACTTTCAGATGGCAGCAGTGAAAGCGTGCACTGACAATTAATTAAAAAAAAAAAAAAAGTTGTCGTTGAGTTGATTCTGACTTATGGAGTAGAACTATGTTCCACAGGGTTTTCAATGGCTGATTTTTCAAATACTCAGGATTAAATATTTGAAAATATTTACATAGGCATTAGATGGTAATTATAATTACCAGAAACAAGTGAACAAAAAGAATGGTGACTTTAATTATTAAGTGAATTGAATGGTCAACTTAGACAAACTTACTATAGTTGAATGCCTCCATACACTGTTAGCCTTTTGCCTTCTTTTTAAATATATGAAGTAATCAAGCACAAAGAATCTAAAATGGTGTATATATTATGACTACAATTCTTTAAAACCAGATTTAATAATTGGGTAAAAATACGATGCTTGGGACAAGAGCTATACGATGCTAGAGCAAAAGTAAAAATAGGTGTGATGTTTACGTGGTGCAATTGTGTGTTATTTAAAAATCATTTTCTCTAATTGTGTTATTAATTTTTCATTTAAAATATAGAAATAGAAGGCATTATTTTCTGCTTAGTGTTTATATAGGCACACATGGTTCCAGCTCTGAATCCCTAAAGATAGAGGCACTTAATTATTTTATTTTCTAGTAATTGACTTCTAAAATAACTCGAAAAGACTAAGGAATGAAAGTATCCCTCAGTATAAGTAACTTGAATATACAGAAATTAAAACTTCTATAAATGATAAAATCACCTGGAACTTTGAATTTGAGGAACCCTAAAAATCTAGCAAGGAGCCCCAGTGGTGCAGTGGTTAAGCACTTAGCTGCCAACCTAAAGGTTGCTGGCTCGAACCCACCAGCCACTCCGAGGGAGAAAAATGTGGCAGTCTGCTTCCACAAAGATGGAAACTCTCACCTAAAGTACAATAAAAAAAATTTAAAAAAAAGATGGAAACCCTATGGGGCAGTTCTACTCTGTCCTATAGGGTCACTATGAGTCAGAATCTATTTCATGGCAATGGGTTTCGGTTTTTTTAAAAGACCTAGCAAGCACTATGATTGACAGCTCAGTTCCTGTAGATAATACAAATACTCATATAATAAGAGGAGAGTTCAATAGTTATGCAAGGGCAATCAGAGGATTTCTAAAGTCCTATAGTTTGGGAGGTGGACAGGGCAGAGCATGTTACAGTGAAAATTCTGTACGTAAGAAAGAGTTATGAAAGGAAGGTGACCAGCAATTAATTGGCAGACTTCAGAGACAAGCATGACATGAGAGTTCCTCATTTGGTCTCACTTAGGGGTTTCAATGGGAACCTTTTACCAATTATATTCTATAAATCAAAAGGTAAATAGATTCACTACATGGCCAACTCTGAAATAAATCTGTTCAAGATATTTACATACACCCATGTACGTAAATTCCATTGTTGTTGTACTGTTTTTATTAAAAAGCTGAAGACAACATGTAGGGCTGACAGAAAAAAAAAAGGAGCTTAATCAGGTAATTTCTGACTTTAAGTTCACTAAGTTAAAAAAAAAAAACTTGATATATATTTAGTAGGAAATGTATGAAGTGCAACTCTTAGAGGATTTTGTAATTTTATAGTTATAAATTTACAGTGAAATTGGAATGGCAATAATTCTTACAATAGCTAAATATCGACATATTCTTACATAATTATGATTAAGTATATTATTAAAACCCTGGTGGTGCAGTTGTTAAGAGCTCAGCTGGTCATCAAAAGGTTGGCAGTTTAAATCCACCAGCCATTCTTTGGAAAACCTATGGGGCAGTTCTACTCTGTCCTGTAGGGTTGCTGTGAGTTGGTATTGGCTCAGTGGCAATGTGTTTGGTTTTGTTTTGGTTTATATTATTAAAATAACTGATCTTTGTGTATTTTTATGACAAAAGGCAAATTCTGTGCATGAAAAATAACAAGCAGTTGTAATTACGAAGTAAGGTGACTGTTCTCTTAACATACCAGAATTGGCATGCTGAAATAGGTTAACAGATGTCACCTTGAGGCGGCCACATACTCCTGTGTGCTCTGGTTGTTCAAAAAAACTTGGGGATATTCCTTTGGAATTACCTTCAAAGTGAGTTTCAATTTTAGAGTGTTAAAATTATTAAAGTTTAATTTCTGTAAATAAATGCTATAGACAGAGTCAGCCTTACCTGTGTGCCTGCAGGAAAAAGTCTACTATGACTGTTATGGGAAAGGTGCATACGTGATGGACTGCAGAGGTGAACTTGTATACAAAAGTGTATATTCACAAATGAGCCAGAAAACTGAGCGAGATAGATAGAATTCCTATTTTGGTAGGCTTAATCGCTATTTTTTAAGGCTCTTTTACTCCAAATTCTATACTATGAAAACCTGAATCTAGTTTGTTCCTTCTAGCAATCCAACAATCATAAACGCTCTTTTTCAAAGTTATGTTTGAGGGAAAACAAATACAGCAAAATAACAATAAGGGGGAAAAAATCAAAGAAATATAGTACAATATGGTTTTTAAAAATGAATTTTTACCATTTCAAGGAAAGACACTAAAACATGGTTGAGGACTTCCGGCAAAATGGCGCTCTAGGCAGAAGCACCACACCATCCCTCCACAGCAAAGATCAAAAAAACTAAGCCGAACAGAGAAAACAACAATCCTGAAACCCTAAAACATCAAATGAAGAGATAAAAACTCAGCCAAGCACCCAATGGAGAGAAAAAACTGACAGAGAACGGAGAGCGAGGAGAGATTCATGCAGAGGTCCCCTATCAGCTAACGCAG